AATTTCCAATTTCCAAAAGGCCGGTAATGCACTTGTAACGCCTCTGGTGTTTCAAGTATCCATGGGTGGCGCGCCGATTGCTTACCATCAGGTGATCCATCTGCTCGTTTATCGGCTTATCCTATAAAAAAAGTGTATCTAGGTATGTCCACCAATAGACAACCTGAATTGATACCTGTTATAGGTAGAAGGTACTGGATGCAGGTTACCTTCAACCGTCTGCTCTGGAAATCATTGGGCGAGGCAAAAATTCAGCAGTGGACGGTTTGTAGCTGATATGATGATAATAGTGGATGATGTAAATGTAATGTAATGTCGTGGTGACCCGGAAGATGCCCGCTTCTTATGCTTGAGACTGTAGGTTCGAGACCTACCAACGGCAAGTAACACTGGGACTTTTTCCGAGTTATATGTACTTTCTAAGATTATCTAGATACCAATGAAAAAAGGTGAAAGAAAACATCGTGAGGAAACCTGGGCTTATAATTTCTAATTAGAAGTTTGAAATCGCAAACCCGCAATGAGCAAGCGTGGTGATTAATGCTCAAACCTTCTCCGTGTAAGAAGAGGCATTTGAACAGCAGTGGTCACTAATAAGCTGTTGATGATGATGATGATGATGATGATGATAATGATGATGATGATGATGATGAGTGGTTGATGTATGTACTATATATGTGTATAAATGTTTTAACGTTTCGAGAAAGATACAATTTTATTCTTTGTTTTGTGATTGAATCGTGAGTATTTTTATGTTAACTGTACCTTGTCACTGAGTTTAACTGTGATGCTAATTTATTAAGCGATTATCCGTTTAACACAATGGTACCTAAACACGTTGAATTTGTGGTTATTTGTATAATTATAATGCTACCTGTTAGTAGCCGCAGTCTTCCGACCCTCTAATATGTACGCAGGTAAGAAAATAAATATGGATTCGGTACAAAGAGTAGCTATTGTTATCCATAATTAATTATTTGCTTTTCAACGTAGCCATATTTTGTACCCGTCATTATTTTTATAAAAAAAGTCAATATATACAGTCAAGGAGTCATCATTCATACCTAAGCTGTATTCAGAAGGCCTGTTTACGATAAACGACTAGTCATAATGTTAAATATAGATAATTCAAATATTATTAAAGAAATGATTATTTATATTCAATCAATATTCATACAGCGTCTTTGTAAGTAATTTCGTTTATACATAAACTTCAAGTACTTACATATAGTTTGCTATGACTTTAAGTGGTTGGTAGTAGATTTGCATAAAGAGATTCGTGTAGTGTGCCTTCTATGACGTTCATAGCAAGGTATCACACACACTCGACATTGTACAACTTATGTCAAGAGCGTTTTTAGAACAGTTTTTTATCTTAGGAGTCAACGTTTGAATCTTTATTTTCCAAATTATTAATATTCATAATAAGAAACTATTCTTTTTATACTTAAGCAATAAGCATATTTTTGTGATCCTGGTAAGGCATTTGAGTACTTTCCTAATATTATTTAGTTTTTACGTGGACCTTAGCAATACTAGCAGAAACGTTTTTGTCTACATTGAATTAAAGGGGCTTTTTAAATTATTGACACTATATTAAAAAATGTAGCTTTTTTAATTTTTACTCTCGTATTTTTTTATGTCGGGTGTTCCTCAGGGTCCCGATCTTTGGTCTTTGTTGTTTCAGACGTGTATGTCATTTTAGGCTTTTTATTTACGTGTATCCAAAACAGTTTCTATTTAATTAAATTTGGATGGATTAATTACTTAAAAGCAATAGTATTTCTTAGTATTTTATGTATATCAATGCATAAACATTGCTATGTCACAAACTAAAACGGTACATTATTTTGTAAATAAGGAGCCTGTATTTGTTTTGTGCGAAAAGTAAAACCACTAAACAATACGCGTATCTGCGGTTTATTGCGAAGGCTGTCAGCCAACCGAACGATTGTTAAGAGTCAAATATGTAGTTTTCTTTGACATCCCGTTACAATGTTTACTAAAGAATTTTAAGTAACCTGCACACTCGTTTTTATAGCCACACAGAAAAGTATGCAAATATTGATTAGGCATATAGTTATATTGGGTGAAGCATAATTACTTATATCTCGAGGACTTGTAGGAGGCGCACGTATTGAAATACATCAGCTATTGCTGATTTAGATGGCCCACGTAACATAGGAGTGAACTTATCTATTACTATACTACCTCTATATATATTAATTATCATCAGTATGTGACTGCCTCGTTGGCCGAATTCGACTCGACTTGACTCGATTTCGATTCCCGGGTCGGGCAAAGTATTACTGGGTTTTTAAAAAATTCTCAGAAGTAGCACAGAATTTGGAATTGTGCCCGGTATATGGCAATAAGCTCACCCCCCTTTTACATGGGAATAATAACATGAATTGTGAAAAGTAGGTGTTACATTGCACAGTGGCATTAAGTGCCCTAAAATGCTCTGCTTTCTCCCGTAAAGGGGTAGCCCTTCGGGGACTAAAATGCGCGATGTTATGTATGTATGTATTGTATGCTTGTGTATGAAATGTTACGAAGTTAATTAGATGCGTATGTGACTTGTATTTTAATAAGTGCATATGAGTAAGTTTATGCAGGAAGTCATCATATAAGTTACGCTTAACGTGTTTATTATTATACAATAAGTATTGGTAAACAAAAACTTATTATGTTTGCAATTAATTTTCTGTTATTGTCTAACTTTGTTGATGTAAACAAGGTTATTTACTTGTTAACTTTTGTACCTAATACATATATACGTTGTTATGTTATTGTTGAATTTCGTTGGGTTTCTATGAATCTTTATTATTGTTTATTGTTTTGGCATCTACGATTCGGAGTTTTATTAATTAATTGAAATTATTTCGTGAATATTTTTTTGGATATTTATTTATTATGACACAAAATGATGACGTGCGTGAAACATGTGATAAAACTAGTTGAAAAGCCTACGATACTTATTTAATTAATATCGTTAGCATTAATTCGACATTTTTATTGAATACTGGTTTTTGATTGATAAAACATGAACAGTATGCTGTATGAGTTATTACTTTCGGATCAGTCTTCAAATATTTTATATTTTCGTCAGAATGTCTATACATATTATATGTACTGTGTAATAGTATTTTTTTTATGGGACAAGCCCCACAACCTCCCAAAACCGCTGCAACTCCTGTAAGCCAGGATCTACAGTAGATACAACCATGAAAACACCGGAACACTGAAGTCCGGCGCGTCTCAGGGACATGAGTCTTGGTTCCCGCAACGAAGTGAATCAGAAGAGGAGAAGAAAAAACGATGGTTTCCACTTCCCTCGGTGAATTACTGCAGGAGACAGAATAAATTAAGCCTAAAGGCACAAAGAAGAGACTGCGCAACTGGGTGAAGCCCAGTCGCCAAGCACCACGGAAATTTGACTATAAACTAAGTGGGTCCTATGTGTGAGCTGTTATACTTGCTTCCAATAATAGGTATGGCAAAAACGCCTAAACGCACGGAAATTCGTTCTAGATTCCATAAGGTAATGAGCTACACCTGACGAAACAATTAAATGTGTAATAGTATGTGTGATCATAATAGTAACTGTTGGTAATGGTTGGTTGAAAAAAATTTATTGTAGCTTTTTTATGAAATAGGAGACAAACGAGCAGATAGATCACCTGATATCGCCTACGACACCCACAGCACCAGAGGAGACACAGGTGCATTGCCGGCCTTTTATAAAGGAATTTTCTCGTTTGTTGAAGGTTCATAAAAATGTGTAAGCCTAATTTATTGTACATCTAAAAGTGACACTTTTATTAAATTCGTGCATTGCTGCAGGTACTAGACGTGTAGTATCCACAGACATCAGAAAAAATGTAAATACAAATCTCGAGAACTAGTGAAAATATGTACCTATTTAGCTGTTAAATTAAGAACCACGAAAGTACGTTTCCATAACGGTTAGATAAGGGTAGTACACATAAAAATACTCTCTGTTCATAATTTTCTAAGAAGTTTAGTAAGTTTAGTACCGTGCAACTGGTACCTGACAGGGTTATCTGGGGAAGGTGACATGGAATTGGGGTGGTTCTTAGTCAGTAAGTCTGACACTCCCTCTCGCCTCACTCAGGAATTAGCCATTTCATGGTTGTTCTTGTTGTCTATCTCAAAGAAAGGGTCTGTAGGCCCTTTGTGCCAATCAATGAAGAAGTGGATAGTCATGTCGAAAGAAGACTATGTTCAAAATTTTGAGACAAGACTTACACGGAACTGATTAATTTTTGTGTACTAAACATAATAATAATACTGAGTGGAGCCCACTCAAAGTCAATAGACGTCATGGTAGGTCCAGAAGTAGATGGCGGGATGAACTTAACGTCTATGAAAAGGATTAGCCACAGAAAGCTTTAAGAAGAGACGAGTGAAACGAGGGTAGGGAGGCCTTTGCCCTGCAATGGGACGACCATGGGTAAAATAAATAAATAATAAAATAAATAAACAGAGTAATAAAGGTACTTTAAGGAATTTGGAGTAATGTAAAGTGCGAATGCGGAAGAAAGCTTATAGGTACTTGAAGATTTTTAAAATCTTTATGTTTATTGTGGAAATGACAATTTGTTGGTTAGGATAAAGTTTGGTTAAGCTACAGTGTAGTTGATATGTAAGTGTTATACCTAGGTACTACTACTAAATATGTTCACTAAAACTTAACCTATTCATTACTATCAATGGGGTGACGTTTTCTTTTAAGAAAAAACCTGTAAATAATTAAAGATAGAAAAAACTACTATCGTAACATCACGCCTTTTATCCCCGAAGGGGTAGATAGAGGTGCACATTATGCCACTGTACAATGTAACACCGACTTTTCACTGTTTATGTCATGAGTCCCTTGTAATAGGGGGTGAAAAACTACTATCAATGTGTATAAAACCAGATGAAATGTCAAATAAAACAGTTATTCTTACTTAATACGTATAATTTAACTTTTTGCAATAATCACAGATATCAATATGGAATTTGGAAAGGTTTAAGTCAGTGCACTGTATTAGCGTCCATATCCGTAACCGGCGCCGTAACCACCGCCGAAACCTCCGCCGAAACCTCCGCCGAAGCCTCCGCCGAAACCTCCGCCGAAGCCACCACCTCCTCCGTAGCCGAGACCTCCGAAGCCTCTATGTCCACGTCCGTAACCTCCGTATCCTCCGTGATGTCCGTAACCACCATGGCCGAACCCACCACCGTATCCGAAACCACGGTGTCCCCACCTACGGAAACGGGACTCTTCTGGCAGTAACCCCTCGTCCCCCGCCACTGGCAGTACTCCCGGTGCTAATTCACTCGGCGCCGCCTCCACAGGTATGGCCAAAGCGTACGCCACACACGTGACCACCAACATACTGATGCACAGCAACTGGAATAAAAATTGTAACTTAGAATTTGAATATCAGATGGACTTAATGCCGTGAGCTTTCTCTACAGGACGTTTATATTAAGAAAACATTCTACTGAAAAATATACTGAACAATAAAGACGGTTGTATTGCGTATTATCCCACAAACACATTGACCAAAAAAAAAATTGAAAGCTAATTATTTTAAAGATTTTCCCATAATGTTAAATCATTTTGTATCACATCGCTTCAATGTTGCTTAAATGGTGTAGGATTGTGTCTACTTACAGTCTTCATTGTTGCGAATTCTGTTCACCAATGTTGTTGGTGGACGCTTGTGGAGACGTATATATATGCGCGCTAGGACGTGCGCTACTGGTCTGACTCATCGCAGGTAAATAACCGCCACACTAAAATAATTGATACTAAATTTATCAAACAAAGTTATTACTCTTCTACTGACCGCTGCACTTTTTAAATGCTAGATCAATATTATTATCACGAATGCCATTAATGAAATAAATTCATCACAGATTTTGATATTAACAAATGTGATTTACAACTTTGAAATAAATTGCGTTATAGCCGGATGTTCGTTTTAGTTTCGTTTTCATAAGTCTGTTGTAAATTTTGTCATTGTGCTGAATAGTAGTCAGCAGTTTTCGAATGAGATTGACCCCAACCTTGATACCTTTGGATAAAAACTGTGTTTAGCTACGTCAGGTGTAGGTACTAAGATGACAAATGATTGAAGATTCCGCGATGTGACATCGTACGTGTGTAATTACGTTAAATCCTACATAACATATTCTAAGTATGTAATATTTGTGTAAAAGGGTATTTACTTTGCTTAAGTACTTACCTTAGTTCCGTATTATTAATAACGTCTTAATAATTATCTTCGATTTCCATGATATTATTTCCGAGTACTTTCGTTTGACTAGATTTTTTTTGTAATAAGAAAATTCTTCCTGTATTTTATTATTATTATAATATCCCAAAATTTTCGTTTATAAGTGACGTCAAACTTATTTTATAATTACAGGTACCTTTATTAAATTAATATCGTGGAAATTTTGTTCTATTGCTGTTTATTTGTTTTGTTTTTGATTCACAAACACTTTAAGTGTTAATTGCGGATCTATTGATTCGCTGGGAAACCCACGCATTAAAGTTGAAGAATTATTATATTTATGCACATATGTATTCTATACATAATATATATGTATGGTGACAAATATAATCATCTGGTTACCAAGGTAAACAACAAAATTATAGAGGTAATATTGTTGAAGTACGCACCCATAATATTATGTGCATTCTTTGTGTCATCTTGAAGATCCATCTCAATTGTACTTTTGTCAGAATAAAATTTAGTCGCATAATTACTATGCATTATGTAGTTGCACAATATTTCTTAAATGAGTAATATTTTATGATCATCTCTCAATACGTGCCCAGTCATTGTGGTTTCAAGAAGACAAGCATTGTAAAATTTACATCTATTCATAACTAAATGATTAAGAAGCTGGTACAATTCCACATATAAGTGTTATAATAGTATTAACTAGGTATATTTAGTATTGAGCTTCATAAAAGTGGACGCAGTTCCTATTTTAAAGGTCAATATTAATATTTTTTTCTTTCTATCATCGCACCGCTCGCCCTCGACAGGTTCACGCTCAAACATTGGAGCCCAAATGGTACATGGACCCTCCGATTGTGCAATGAAGTCCCTGCCAAGGTTTTCCCGGTGGGCTACAATATGGGGTTCTTCAAGAAAGGAGTTAATAGGTTTATTAAGGGTCGGTAAGGTGCATGTAATGCCCCATGTGTTGCAAGCGTTCATAGGCCACAGTAGCCACTTACCATCAGGTAGGCCGTGTGCTTTTTTTGTCACCGTCGTGGTATATACTCGTATAAAAAATTAACCGATATCAAATTCGCAATTGAAAATCTTATATTAACATCGATTTTTTAAATTACTTGTATAAAGATTAGTCAGGAAGGAAACACAGGACTCATCTAGTTTACTTTTGAAATATTGACGCGTATTACTGCTGTATAACTGCTGCTGCGACTTTTTTATTTGAAATTAGTTACTCCTACTGCTGCTGCTTGGCTCCTGTTGGTAGTAGCATAATGTGAGCCTATACTACAAAAAATATTTTCTCAAACCGGGTCAGTAGTTCTGGAGATTAGTGCGTTCGAACAGATAAACAAACTTTTCACGTGTTTAATAATATTAGTACAAATAAAACTGTTCTGTTCTGTAAGAGTACCTATTATATGAACAATAATATCACGGATTCCCAGTGACCATCATGATGTCATGTCAAAAGTAGTTGTTCTATATACCTAAATGTGCAACTCTATCTACCTCTTCGTGGACTAAGAAGCGTGATGTTCGATTTTATTGTTTTTCAACCAAATTATAGTTTCCTGACGTAGTATTTTTCTTGTGTTTTTAAATATCAGGAAATTCCTGTTCGAGATTTTTTATACAAAGGTTGCTAATTCCACATCGTAGATTTAACATACGTTATGTGGGTAAACCTGCGGAGTACAACTAGTATAAAACGTTTTTCTAGTTTGATGACATTTAATTAAGATGAAAATATTATTATTATTATATTGATTCTCTATAATACGCAAATGAGGTACTCAAAGTAAAGCATCGAATTGCTAATTAGCAGCTATTTGATTTCATTAACACTTAATTATTAAGAATATGTATTAAGTGTCTATTTTTATATGTTATTTAATGTAGTTTTTCCCCCATATGTAGTTGCGCCATTTTAATATACATTTTAATTTGGAAAAATAAAAGATTACGTTTTCGAACAGGCTAGTCCCGCCGTAAATTCCAAGTTACATACATACATTTTAAAAATAATGAAGTTGTGGCGAGGTGCTAATAGAAAATTAGCATTGTACTAAATATTTAGCGGCTTCATAATGTTCGATCACATTAAAATAAAAGGAGTAGTAGGCGGTAAATTTATACAACACTTATAATGTAGTGTAGTAGTAATATCTCGACGATGACAGGTGGCGCGGTGGCTGGGCAACCGGTTGCCGCGTCGATTTACGTTCGATTCCCGCACGGAACAATTCTTTGTATGATCCACAAATTGTGGTTGTCTGTCTAGGTGTCATAAGTGTCTCAAAGAGCCATCAGGGCTGATGCCCGATACGAAGCCGTGGAAATCCTAAAGGGTTGCCAGGACTCCGGCTCAAAGAGCAGGAGTAGGAACGGGGTGGCCCGTTCCTGCTCCTGCTTTTTAGTCAGTAAGAGTTTGACGGTCCCTCTAACCTAACCCAAGGCGGGAGAAGTCATTGGATGATCTCCCCCCCTCAAAAAAAGGTGCCCTGAGTATGTAAAGATCAAGTCTCGAATCTATAGAAATAGGTACTTACAGGAAAAAGTAATGTTTCCCACTTAGTACATATAAATATTTATTTTTATGTATACTTGATAAATTGGACTAGAGTAGTTAAAATTAATGTGAGATAGGTTATATTACCAAGCATAAAGTTTGACTCTATATTATTTTCTGAGACTTTCGAAAAATATATAAGATTCTCTCTCTCTCTCTCTCTTTCCCTCTCTCTCTCTCTCTCTCGTAACGGTTATCGAACTGAACATTTCATATACCTACAATTGCATTTCCTACTATTTTGATTTCCAACAAATTAGTTAGTATATTAATTGAATCACTATATGGAAAAATATTTATTACAATACTAGTGGTATTGTATGTATAAGATAAATAAAAATAAAGTGTATTTTAAATAGAACAACTTTTTTACAAGTCTTATTTTAATAGGATTATAAACATCGGATTGGTCGATTTTTTACTTTATTAGTTTGGAACAAATTAAATTAGAAGAATAATAATTACTAGTTCGACTTCAACGTGAATTCCCGCTTTAATTAATATGTGCTAAGACTTATAATCTATGCTATCATAAAATAATCAATCTATATATCTGTCTGTTGAAGTGATCCGACAGAGAACCAAAGTTATAGACAAAGCTCAAAGGTGATCCTTTACTGATGTAAAGCTGAAGTGGCAGTGGGTCACATTTGTCGAAGAACTGATAACCGGGGTAAACATGTTCTAGAGTGGAGACCGCGTCTAGGCAAACGAAGAGTAGGACGCCCTCTACGTAGGTGGAGTGACGACATCCGCAAGGTGGCAGCCAGTGTTTGGAGGAGAGGATCTGAAGACCGAGTTCAGTGGCGTGAGGCCTATATCCAGCAGTGGACGAATAAGGGGTGAGGATGATGATAATGATGATATATCTGTTCAATAGTTTACCTGCATTAGTAGGTATATAAAAGAAAAAAGTCTTATTATCACACTATCTATAAAACTGCTACATAAATGTTGGTGATATTTAGTTAGTTAGTATCAATTAACGCGTTATATGGCTATAGTTTGGTAATAAATAACTAACTTCTTTTAAGAAAACCTTTCGTAAAGGTGGAAACGGAGAGGCAGGTTTTGTGGTACATATATACGTGTATATGCACTCTGTTTAGTTTCATGTCCTCTATTAGGCTACTGAAACTGAGAAATATACGACCACTCGTGTTGAGTACTTTAATCTTTTAAACCACCAGCTGTATCATCTTAAGCACCTGTCCTTAGTCGCTATAGGATGAAATACACAGGTGTGATTGATATCTTAGTACTTTTTTATCTTTTAACCTTTTGGAACGTGATATAGTTTAATACACACTTATTACTCTTTCGCCCTAGAAGTCCTCAAATGTGACTAGCTTAACATGCCATATTTACTTATGTCACTTTTTTAAGTGAGTGAATTATTGTCGGGCACAAAAAAGTAAAATGTCCTCTCGATAAAATCTTACGCACAAAATTGGACAAGTTTTTCGTATGGTATATCGTAGGTACTTATGAGTGCTTAAAATGCTGAGACGAGGCGATGTTCCCTTAAAGTGACAATCCGCGTGTAAAAATGAGAGATAACATTTAAAATATAGGATTACCTATATAAGAAGTTATCCTTCACCTTTATTAAAGTACTAAAATAACGAGTTGAGAAAAGTAATCCGCTATAAATTGTATGACGTTGCATTTGTAATGACAATGACAGTGACAGATTGGTGCTCAATAATTGGGCACTTGACTTATTAAAAAATAAATGATTGCGACTGTTCAGTACAGTAAAGTATATAAAAAAATCTTATTTTTATTCATTGATTTTATGATAAACTTCATTTTTCCATCAAATTTATAAGAAATTCTTATACTGTTTGACGCTAAAAAAACGTGACGTCACAATACACAATCTCGAACAAAATTCATAGGAAACTGTCGTTTTTGTCATTTCCAAAAAGTTTTTAATTCGACTAGTTGGCAAGTTCCCAATTTGTTTTGGAAGGAAAAAGACCGCATTCATGAGAGTTTGTTCCTTTATAAACATACTTGAGTACCTATCTACATAGGTACATAAAATCAAGCCCATGTCCCAAAGACATCTACAATTAAAATATATCTAACATAACATAACATCACGTCTTTTATCCTCGAAGGGGTGGGTAGGCAGAGGTGCACATTATGCCATTGTACAATGTAACACCCACTTTTCACTATTTATGTTATGAGTCCCATGTCATAGGGGGTGAGCCTATTGCCATATACCAGGCACATTTACAGACTCAGTGCTATTACTGAGAATTTAAAAAAAAACCCAATAATACTTTGCCCGACCCGGGAATTGAACTCGAGACCCCTTGCCCGGCAGTCGCCCTTGCGACCACTCGGCCAACGCGGCAGTCTAA